TTAGAACCCCTCACGCCAAACCACCTGCTGCAGCTGAAAACCAGACCACTCTTACCACCTGGACTCTTCTGCAAAGATGACCTCTACACCAGAAAGAGATGGAGACAAGTTCAATACATTGCAGACCTCTTCTGGCAGAGGTGGGCTAAAGAATATCTGCCACTCATGCAGCAAAGGCAAAAGTGGGTCAACACTAGAAGGAATCTTCAACCCAATGATATTGTGGTCATCGTCGATGAAACGGCACCAAGGAACTCGTGGCCCCTCGGCCGTGTGGTTAAAACCCTGCCCGGACCCAAAGGTCTGGTCAGAAGTGTGTTAGTTCAGACCAAGACTAACATCCTGCAAAGGCCCATTAGTAAGCTCTGTCTACTCCTGGAAGCCAACTGAGCCAAGAGCTAGCCAATGCCCTACCCCCTGCACACACACATACTGTCTTTCTTACATCTTTCCATACACAAACCTCTCCATTTCAAACTACACTGATACCCTTTGACTATTGTCTCCTGCCTCAGGGACAGTGAGTGGTGAAACCACCAAAGACACTGATGCAGCATGAACTTTGGGGGGGATCTAAGTGGGGGCTAATTGAAATGACTTGTTGAATGTATATATGCATATTAGTAGATTTTGTATGATAAACAAAAATGTAATTAGATATTTTGCGTAGTCTCAAATATTTAAAGGTGTTACCTGGCTCCATAGAATGTTTTGTTGTAATTGATTTGCTATTGCATCACAATTAGGGGCCGGTATGATGAAGCCATATCTAGGAGCTTATATTATTTAATAGTTATCCATTTATTTTATTGTTCTTTTTTGTTTATAGTAAATCTTCCTTTTAATTCTTATTTAAGTTGATCAAATAAGTTGTACCATGCCTCTGTTTTGTAAAGACAGCCTTTGGGCACCGGGGGAGGGGAGACCGGCTCATTATAAATATGGGAAACAGGTGGTAGTGAGCGGCGCACCCGGTAGGCTTATGGTTTTTTACCATCGGGTAAGAAGGAAGAGAAATGCTTGATGTGTTGACAATAAATTGCACTGAAACGACTTTTGCTCGGACCTTGATTTTTACCCATGCGTAAGATTCGCTGACGGGTGCCTCGGCGGCACTTTGCGTTATATTTCTTTCTTATATTTTTATGATTTTGGCCGCTATAATGACATTTGAAGTGTGCAGTGGAAACTGATCAAACCTACCTACCTACAGGTACACTTTGAAGACGACCAATATATTGGCAACAAATCAGGAGGAAATTTGAGGTTGAGGCCAGATGCTGTTCCAACAGTATTTATACATCGGCCTAAGCCGAAAAGGAGGACATCCACGTCAAGGAGTATGCCTCCAGCTGTCAGGAATGATGACCACACCTATTATGGCACATCAAACATTGGTATGATATATGAAGCTAACAATGTTTCCCATGTTATATAATTCAAGGATAGACTACACTCCTAATGCAACCTTCAGATTATACAGCTTCAAAACTACCAGGGTTCAGGGATTCTCTGAAGACTCATATACCACATGTAGATAATCTACAGATTTCTTCATACTTTAACATTGCCAATAGACGAACTTAGATGAATGTCACTATAGGAGTGTAGTGTGTACCTTTAAATGACAATAGGTGCTGTGACGAAGGTAACTTCGTCACTATGGACTGACGGCTTCAGGCCGGGTAATATTGCACTTTATTAGCGTGATTGCACAGTACAGTTGACATTACATATTTGCACATAATTTATACTAATTATTGAGGTAGTATTTTTTAACTGATTAAACCGTATTTATTGGAATGTCGTCTGGCAGGTGCTGGTCGGGTCCTCGGCTCCGCCTGAAAAGATAGGGGAGTTTGCGAGAGCGCCGAGAGTAGTTATGCTGGTGTAAGGATGACAGTGGTTGAGAGTAATGAGGGTGCAAATAATATGTTGTCTGTGGCTGATGATTGTGTGCACCTGGTGTCCTGTGTTGTCTCCTCCCCCCTCACCTGTGTCTTGTTAGTATGTGTGTATTTAGGTGCTGTTTCCTTGTAACTGGGTGTGTGTGAGATCCTTGTGGCTGCAGGATGTGTGCAAGGAGAACAGCAGGATTGAGGCTGTGAACTTTGTGCACATGATTTTAATAAATGCCCACGTCGGGTTATATTTTTGCTTGGTCTGGGCCACTCAACGGTCAGTCTCACAGGTGCACATGTAAAGGCAGCATACACATATAACAGCAAGATTGCCTTGTTATTGTTACAGAGATTCAGGGAGATATTGAGGTGGAGTTCCAAGGGAATGAAAGGGACATAACAGACAGAGAGAGTGAGACAGATGTCAGCAGACTGCCAGGGGCCAGTATGTCAGGGGCCGACAATCAAGAGGCCACCTTACCAGAGATCAGTGTGCCAGGAGCCAGTCAGTCAGGGGTCAGCTATGAAGAGGCCAGTTTGCCAGGGTCAGGTGCTCCAGGGACCAGACTGCCAAGGGCCAGTTGTGACCGGGCTCACGTGGAGGATCTAATGAGGCAACTGAGAAGGAAGAGATTACTAAGAAAGAGAGCAGAGAGGGCTCTGGTAAAACGGAAAAGGATTAATTCGGCATTAAAAAAAAAACACAATTTGATTAATCTAAAGTTTAAAAAAATCTTCAACACAGACCAAATTAGAGCCAGATTACCGTCCATCTGATGAGGTTTTCACCCTTGTTCAGAACGTGGAGCAGCTGTTCCGTGTGAGGACGAGCGATTCCCTCATGGAGTCCTCAAATGCAGTGTCACAGCTGGAACAAGAAGCCATGTTGCTGGACAGCATCCTTCCCTCATGCCATGACCTGAAGAAAGAAATCCTCTCAACATACACCAGGCTGAGGTTAAGGATTGCATCAAAGTGCATCAGGGCTGAGAGGAAGGATAAACAAAAAGGGTATCTTGGCAGCAAGAGTCAGAGTAAGAAGGCAAAGAAGACCCAACAGACCTCTGCACCGAAGGTCATAACATCTAGGCCACTGCCAAACACCTTACTCGTTGCCATCGATGTACTTGGCATCTCCATTCCCGGTCCACCGTCAGCAGCCTCCAGCCTCCTCTTCTTTCAGCAGTCATCACCTGCAGCCATTGCCAGCACCAGCCTCCTTCAGCAGCAGCACCCTCCTCCAGCAGCAGCACCCTCCTCCAGCAGCAGCAGCCTTCGCCAGCAGCAGCAGCCTCCTTCAGCAGCAGCACCCTCCTCCAGCAGCAGCACCCTCCTCCAGCAGCAGCACCCTCCGCCAGCAGCAGCACCCTCCTTCAGCAGCAGCACCCTCCTCCAGCAGCAGCACCCTCCTCCAGCAGCAGCACCCTCCTTCAGCAGCAGCAGCCTCCGCCAGCAGCAGCAGCAACAGCCATGGCTGACATATGAGGTGAATAAAAAAAAATGCTAATTATTTTTTTTAAAGTGTTTATTTTGTTAAAAATAAACATTTTGGATGCATGACCATGTTTTAGGCTCATCCTTCATTCACTGCTGTAGAGTAGCCTGTTCAGTAGGCTATTATTTTTTTAAGACTGAATAATACCTTTGAAGAACAATCATTAAACTAGTGTGTATATTACAATACAAAGGAATCTATCCTAGCATGCCATCCAGCATTAAAAAGTAGCGCTAGGCTAGTTGTACAGTACAGATGAGTTAACACGGAACAGTACACAAAAAAACAAAGTACAGTCAACATGTCACATAATGAAATGTTAGTATATCCCAAAATTCAATGAAATATTAAATGAAATATTTATTACAAACGCCACCTCATTTCTACTAGTGCTAGCAGTTAAGTCATATCATACAGAAAAAGCCGACTAAGGATGGCTGACACGGTCAGGTTCAGCAGATAAAAACCAAAATAACAATAAAAACACATAATCAATCTAAATCCTGCTTGTTAGTTACCCAGCATCATTGATATATAAGCTGCTAGCGATTCATTACTGAAATCTTACCTTCAAAGCTGACGAAGTCGCGCTAGCTAACTAGCAGGCGATGCTAGCTAAATTGGTTGTAACAACCAAGATAAAATATAGATAATTACGCTGTGCATATACAAATGAAGACCAGTATAAGCATCATAAAGGGCCTCTGATACAATATAGACAGTTGACAATTCAAAAGAGTTCGATATTTCAGCAACTTACCTCTGGAACTAATCGACGCGCCGTTATGTAAGTGAATGAGGTCCAACGCCCAAATGACAATATTTGGAACTATTTCGATGTCCATACCCCGGAAGTAGGCGCCGCCATTTTTTACAACGGAGGTCTATGGGAGTGTCGTAACCTTTAAGTCTATGGTCGTAACCCTTATATCTCTAGGGCTCTGGGTGTGCCTATTCCCCAAGAGAGACTGAAGCTATCCACCAACATCTGTGATATATGGATACATTGTTGATGAGTTATGAGCATTTCTTTCTAAGCCCCGCCTTTTTACAAACACGTTTTGATTAATGGCGGCCATATTTATCAACTGAACATGCTCATCTCCTAGGGCAGGGGTCGGCAACCCCTGGCACGCGTGCCACCATTGACATGCGGCACCGTAACCAGTGGCACACTAGGAATAAGTGGAATAAGTGTGCAAAATATTTAAATTGTATTTTCGGATCCTGAACGAGACCGCCGACAGAGCGCGTCTCCCCGTCGGCAGAAGGAAGCCATGCACGCAGCGCAGCCCCGCTCTCTTTAACTTCAGGTGACTTTCTGCCGCTTTCCTCCGTGGTGCAGTGCTGATCGTTTCACCACAGAGGAAAGCACTTCACTAATTGCAGTACCCATAAGGAGCTGTACAAATGCCGCAGCTTTTGCGTGGCTGTGTCTTTAGTTGAAAGCCCAGTGGCGATCTGCTCATCGAAATAATATGCTACAAAGGGGCGGACTGGCCATCTGTGTGTTGAACTTTCCTATCGGCTCCCAGACCGTAGTCAGGGACTCTCATGCCCCGGCCACACGAGGACGAAAACGGCCGTTTGCGTTACTGTTTAGTGTCATATAGACCATTCGGCCATACGAGGACGACCGAATACGGCACTAAACGACTGAGGAAACGATAACGGGTCCCAAGGTGGATAGAAAGGCATACGCAACGCTCTGGGGGGTCAAACGGCTCCGTGTGCGCCCTATACGAACATTTTCTGATAGTGATTGCGCAATAGCAATAGCCCCGCCTCTCCCCACCTCTTCTGCTCACCTCCGCTTACCCCGCGCCATTGCTGATGTGTTTCGCCACCAACAACAACAACAACAATGGCGGATCGCAGAGTTGCTATCGTGCTCCGGACGCTACTGACCATGCTACAGTTCTTTGTGCAACATCTACAGCAGACTTACACATCCGGGGGGGATCTTACTCGCTGCTTTTGTGGATATGTACTGCAGCTTCAGCGATCATTTTCTGATAATGATTGCGCGATAGCCCCGCCTCTCCCCACCTCTGCTGCTCACCCCCGCGTTAAAGTAAACTGCACACTGAATTCAGATTATTTATCTTTCTCTCGATATGGACATAAACGCGAGTGAAGTCTAGTCTGACAGGACGGAGACACCTCTCAAACTACCTAAACTAGTTATAAATATGTTTATTTTTACTGTCGGCCGGGTCACTCATTACTGGATCAGCTGCTGCATGAGACAGACACTGACGCTGTCCAAAGAGAGGGTGGAAAAAGAGAGGCTCCGTGTATTTTATTATTATATTATATAGAGTCGTTATTCATTTGTTTTAAAGCTCAATAAATAACAAAGAAGACCTTTGACCGGCACTTTTATAATTTTGTCGGAAGGTTTAAACTTTAATACACATTGACTGGCAACAAACCCTGCCCGGTTCCCTCGGCCCCCACCGCGGAGAATAAACAGAAGGGCAACCATGACAACCATGCTTCTTCGCTGCTTTTGTGGAGGAAGTTACAGCGCCACGTACAGGCTCCTGCATATGTGCTGCAGCTTCTCCAGCGGTTGGAGCTAAATGGAGCTGTCTCGTGTGGGCAGACACTATCCGGATAACTATTGCGTGTGGACGGAAGCTTGTTTGCGATTGCGTTTGCGTTAATCCTATGCGTTTAGCCGTTTTCGTCCTCGTGTGGCCGGGGTCTAAGTCGTCTCCCAGGGCAGAAGCAACAAGCCTAAGGTTCAATAACCCACTTTAGCTTAAATGACTGGAGAGAGGCGAGCTCTTCTTGGGAGGCCGTTGCATTTATTTAGTTGTTCTTCTGTTTCACAAAATACATCACAGAACTCTGTTTTTCTGCTGCCTCGTTACACTTCCAGAAATATACACACACACAAGCCACACCCCTCTCTCTCTCTCTCTCTCTCTCTCTCTTAAAGGGACAGCGATCTCATCTCACTCTGCATGACCCTAATATCATAACATGTGTGTTCTGGAGAATCACAGAACGGACGATCGTCCTTATTATTATGCCGTTCAAACCAATTATTTAAATGTGTTTGCTGACAGGTCCACACACACTGCTTCCCCGCAGCGAGGCTCCCCCCCCCCAAATGGTAATGTGTGTGACCCTCCACGGATGCTGTATACTAAGTTTGGTGTCAAAAAAACTAAAATTGAAATTTAAGTGAATATTTCAATGTTTTGAACATTATGGTAATTTAAAAAAACGGAGCTTAACGGTCCAAGAGGATAATTTGTAGAGCAGGTCGAGACGGATAAGTGTGCAAAATGTCAGGTTATTCAGAGTTACGGTGCGACTTTGTAAATTTGTCCGAAATGAGATTTTCATAGGTGGCGCAGGTTGAATAATTTGAACCCATTGACTCCATAATATTGAATTTGTCACCGGTCCTGGCGTCCGTGCAAAATTATACAACTTTTGAAGCGTCCTAAAGCCCTCAAAAAGAGGAAACGCCAGCAGAAAAATAATAAGAAGAATTCCTCCAATAACAATACGTTCCTCGCACTTCGTGCTAGGACGCAGTTGGGTCCTAGCGCTCCGTGCTCGGGCCCTAATAATAATACTAATACAAATAAAAAATTAAAATAAAGTCAAGAGTGAAAACAGTCTGTAAGAATCCGGTATAAGGGAAGAAAATAATAGTAAACATTGTCGTCTTGGTGAGGAAAAAGGGTTTCATTAAGAGGGAAAAGGAAATATAGATGAGTAGTCTAGGGCAAAAGACAAAGGGTCATGGCGGAAGAGCAGTAATATGAATGGTCACTTTTATTTTATTTATTTCCTTTCAGAGAGCTACCTGCGACTCAGCGTCAGAAGTGATAGGGAGTTCTTTGATAAGGCCTAATAGTGGGTCCCAGGTAGTATACAAGGATTTCAGAGATCCTTTTAATGAGAATCTTAACTTCTCCATCTGAAGGCATTGCAATACATCACGTATCCACTGATCATGTGTTGGTGGGGAAGCATGTATCCATTTTAAGAGAATAGAGCGTCTAGCTAATAGAGTGGTGAAGGCCATGACACGGCGTATAGTAATGGGCATATTCTCAGATGGAGGAAGGCCGAACAGTGCAGTCATAGGATTAGGGTCTATCTTTGTGTTAAAGGCCCTGCTCAATGGTTCCAAATATGTCAGACCAAAATGTGTCCAGCCTCGGGCAAGTCCAGAACATGTGCAGATGGTCAGCTGGGGATTGATTGCATCTGTTGCAGGCATCACTCCGATCCGGGAACATTTTAGCCAGCTTAGCATTAGTAAAGTGAGCTCTGTGGAGCACCTTGCACTGGAGTAGGCCATGTCTAGCACAGATAAATGATGTATGGACTAGGATGAGAATGTCACTCCATTGATTATCAGAAATGTTGCTACCT